GGAAGGGTGGGGCTTGAGTGGCCAAGGGAGGAGTCAGAGCTAGGAGTGAGGTTGGTAGATCACCTGTGCGAACAGCGAGGCCTGCTCCCGAGAGTGACCAAAGGGGTCAATGTGCCAGGCCACACGGGGGAGCCCATCTTTGCCAAATGTGTTTTCCAGAAAGCGCAATCCAAGCGTCATCTGGTCTATGATGGCTCCGTAGTGGGTGGCTGCCTCATCGTTCATCACCCAGCCACCATTGGCAAACTCCAGGCGTCCTGTGCGGGAAGGGCAGTCTGGGTGGATTGTCAGGGCCAGGACTGGGGCCAGGGGTGGCAATGCAGGGGATAAGAAGGCCTGCCTGCAAACCTAGGCCTGGAGGGAGAAGAGGAGTCACTCCCAAGCCAGTGTAGCCAGACATGGAACAGAGGGCCCCTGCATGGCAGGCTTCCCTGAGGATCCCCTGGAGGTGGGGCCCTGTAGGATGCATAGGAGTTCTACAAATAAAGGGAAATTCCAGGCAGGCAGAGCCACATGCACATACAGGCTGCAGAGGACATGATAAAATCTCAGAAGCTGGAGGAGGGTCAGAAACAGAGCTGAGCTGGGCTTCCTCTTTTCACTTCCTTCGGGCAGGCTTACCCTGGCGCACCAGGTCCCGCACAACTTCCTGTGTTGCATTTGTCTGCTGGTGCCACCAACGGGAGAAGAAGGCAATCTCCACATAGATGAATCGGCGGGTGGGCTCCATCAGCAGGGAAGAGATGACTGAGTCTAGGATGTACTGTACCCCCGCATGCTGGACGTCATTCTGGACTGTGGGCACAGGGGTCAGGCAATCAGGGACAAATGAGCCAAGGGGGGCATTCTTAGACACAGGAGCTCAAACTGGACAATGTCCCCCCTCCCAATGTCCAGGACCCAGAAAGGATCTGAAGGACTCAAAGGGGCAAGGGGGCCCCACGGGGAAGTCTCCATGCTCTACTCACTGCCATAAAAGTACTGATCCACAGTCTTGAGCCAGCCCACATCGTCATGCGTGTGGGCCACCAGGTGCACGTTGAGCATGTCCGGATGCACCAATGGGCATGTCTGCACAGGGACCCCAAATACACACATCCTGTCAGTTACACCGAGGTTAAGAAGCAGGCTGGGGGGGCACCTGGGTGGCTCAGCCATTAAGCGTCTGCCTTCGGCTCAGGTCATGATCCCAGAGTCCTGGGATGGAGCCCCGCATCGGGCTCCCTGCTCTGCGGGAAGCCTGCTTCTCCCTCTCCCACTCCCTCTGCTTGTGTTCCCTCTCTCGCTGTGTCTCTCTCTGTCAAATAAATAAAATCTTAAAAAAAAAAAAAAGAAGCAGGCTGGGGTGGGGCTGGGGACACAAGATAAGTTTTGATCTAGAGGTGAGTGACTCAGAGAAATGGGGCCAGGTCCTTCTAGGGAGGACACCCACAGAGTTGGGCATACAAATACAACCCCCACCTGACACAACTCCTCAGGGCAGCTCTCACTCACACCCTGGGTTACCAGTAATAGTAGTAGCAAATGATTATTAGGCATTTGCAAATAGGAAGCAGCCACCCTGGGGCTTGGGGGGCAGTATCTCATTTTCAGATGAGAGCACTAGGGATCAGAGTGGTTAAGTGACTTGCCCCAAGTCACACAGCCAGGAAGTCAGGGAGCCAGACTGGAACTCCAGGCAGGCTGACTCCAGAGTCCCAACTCTCAAGCAATCCCCCCTCACCCCCCGCCCCCCTCCCACATACACACATATGTCCAATCACACAGTTAAGTGCATGCAAAGTCCAGGCAAGCCGACCCACAGAAGGAAGGAGGCAGGTACAGAGAGCCCAATTCTCAGGCTCTCACGGCCAGATCTTTCAACGACGCAAAGCATGCCTTCAGGCCACACTGTCATATTAACAACCATTCACTACGCACCCACAGAACAAACCCACCCACACCTCCGGACCCTACTCGGGGCTTCGCTCCAGCTTGTGTACATTTCCGCTCCCGGGCCACGCTCACCTCGTATCCCGCGGCCCGAGCGCCGGGCGCCGCCACCAACAACAAAAAGAGGAAGGAGAGAGGCGGGAGCGGTGGCTGCAGCGCGCGGGAGCTCGTCGTGGGCCCTGACGCGCCCCGGCCGCCACCGCCAGCGCGGACCCCCGAAGGCCGCGCGTCGGCGACCATGGCTCCGCAGCTGCCGCCGCCGCCGCCGCCACGGCCACCGCAGCCGCCACCAGGGACTTCCCGGGCCCGGAGTGGCCGGGCAAACGCCCCGCCCCCAGAACCCGACCTGGCCAATGGTTGCTGGCGGGGGCGGGGCTAGGGTGCTGCCGGCCGTGTCACGGGCCTGAGGCCTCAGCTCTGGCTAGCCCCTGGGGACACTAGGAGTGTACGGAGGTGTTGGGCGTGTCCCACCCTCGGGTGCTGGTTTAACCAGGGGAGCCGTTAGTGTCTCACCGCCTCCGAGTGTCCTCGGAGTGTCCCTTTGTCCCCGTGGACGCAGAGGCTTCAGACTTTCCTCCGGGTGTAGTTTGCTTAGGAGGTGGGAGCGTGTGCGTGGGATCCTAGGATGTTCCATTGATCTTCAGGGCTAGGGTCTTGGAGGGACCTAGCTTGCTAGGAGCAGGGGTTGATGATGGTCCTGTTCTGTCCTATGAGGATTATGCACAGAGGAACTGCCCTTGGGGTACTGAGGATGGGAGGTATCTAGCCTGATTGGAAGAAATACCCATGGGACTCAGGTGAGGAGTGACAGGTGGGGGAGGACTCAGTCTTTCATGCTTTTCCCAATCCCAATTAGTCCATCCAGCTCACTGATACTACCCGATTTGTCTGATAAGAAAATGAAAACCCGTGGCGCCTGGGTGGCTCAGTCGGTTAAGCAGCTGCCTTCGGCTCAGATCATGATCCCAGGGTCCTGGGATTGAGCCCCGCATCAGAGAAACGGGAGCCTGCTTCTCCCTCTCCCTCTGCCTGTTGTTCTGCCTACTTGTGTTCTCTCTCTCTGTGTCAAATAAATAAAATCTTCAAAAAATAAAAAATAAAAATGAAAATGAAAACCTACATTCCTCAGGTCAGCAGAACCCATCTGCTGAGTTGCCAGAAGACAGGGATCACTGTCCTGCCTCTGGCAACTGACTTAAGTCACAAGGCTTGTGAAATAAGCAAGTGAACGACCAGAAGGCTCCAGGCTAAAGCCCCAACAAAGGCCTGAGTGGAGGATCCGGAGCCCTTCCCCCAACAGGAAGAGCACCGTCAATGCCCAGGAGAGAGGTCCCAAAGAACAGCCAGAATGCAAAACTTTATTAATAATTAACTGGTTTCAACAAAAAAACGAGTGGATACACGTAGAAACATGGACAGCATCTCCCCCACCAGCAGGCAGGGTGGGGAAGGCAGGCAGGAGGGGTAGGCCTAGGGTATTCCCCTCTGCCCAGCAGAAGTGGAATCCCAGGTAAAGGGTCAGGTTCCCTCCATCCAGCTGTGAGTCCTGAGACTACCTCATTCAGGGAAGCCCAGGACACCAGCTGAGGGCAGAGGCTGAACAGCCAGGGGCCAGGCCTGGGGGAAGGTGTACAGAGTAGTCCTAGGCTGACTTCACCAGGGGGGCGTCATGGGCTGAGGGTTCTGCAGATATGACATCACCACGGCAGAGATGGACAGCCTGAGACAGGAGAGAAGTGTCAGGCCAGGATGGGTAGGCTTGGGTCCCCCTCTCCCACTTAGGAGTCCTCCTTCTCTAGGCCTAGACTCACATGAAGCTACTCATCATCTGTTTAGTGTCCTCAGAGCTCCGGGAGTTGGCAAAGCTGATGAAGGAGCAGTAGACAGCCACCCAAGCGCACCACTTCAGCTGGGGAAAGGCAGGTGGATGGGGGTATTCGGTCAGTGACAGGCACACCAATGAACCCCCCATAGGGGCATTCCCAGGCACGGGTTCCAACCCACTGATTCCACCCGACGCAGCTTGGACCTTATCCCCAAGAATCCCTCAGTCCCATTCCCCCTAGCCTATTCCAGGTACCCAGTTTCTCGTCCTACTCTCTTGGCCTGCGTCTCTGTCCGCACCACATACTCTCAGGCCTAAGAAGACTGGCCTTTGACATAGCTCGTGATGCTAAGAACCCCATCCTTTCTCCACGAGTCCCCTCCAAATTACTTTAAAACCTGGCCCCACCTTCAGACCGACCTCCCATGTACTCACCCTGACCCCTGGCCTCCCTCCTGGCTCTGGCTTTCTCCGCCCGGCAACACCGCAGCCCCGCCCCCGGCCAGGCCCACGCCCCGCCCCCTCAGCGTCAGCCCCGCTTCATTCCGAATCGGCTCCCCCCACCGGCTTCGCTATCAGGCGGAGCTACGCCAAAGGAAACTCAGCGCCGCCCACCTTGAGCATGAGACCGCACATGCTGAAGATCATGCCGAGGAGGTTCATGTAGTCCGGCGTCGGGTCGTCCAAGGCCGGGTTACACTCGCTCGGCGGGGGCTTGTACCTGCGACAGGCTCAAGAGTCAGAGGCACTCAAAGTCCCGCCCCCCGAAATGGACAAGCGCTTCCCTGGGCCTCGCCCCACAACCCGAGCCCTGTCCCCGTGACGTTGGGGTCCTCACCTCAGCACTTTGTTCGGCCTTCGTGGGTCCGACATATTGTTAGTGGACATGGCAGGTCGGAGGTCGCGCCTCTTCCGCTACGGGAGTTGCAGCTTCCGGCGCGGAAACGGAGGGTGGCTTTTAGAGTAGCACCCACAGGCTTCGAACTTCCGTTCCCAGCGGCGGGGGCCAGGACTCCTCCCAGCCAAGGGACAGAGAATTAGAAGAGACCAAAAATGTTCCTTGAAAACAAGAAGTGGGGAAAGAAACCTAGAAGCTGGAATCAGGTTTCAATATTCCCCGCACTGTCCCGAAAAAAGCCGCACATTTGAACCGGAAGTGAGTAATAGGAAGTAGACTACGGAAGACAATACGGTTACATCCAAGCGTGGGTTCCGAGGGTTCGGAATCCTCTGTGCAAACCGGTGTCAGGCGGCAAGGAAGGGGTCCCGAAGCAAATGGCTTTCCCTGAGCCGAAACCACGGGGCCCGGAGCTGCCGCAAAAACGGGTGAAGACGCTGGACTGCGGGCAGGGGGCAGTGCGAGCTGTACGATTTAATGGTGAGCTCCCTCTTCATTCCGGGTCCTCCTATCTTCTGAGGTCCGAAGCCCTATAACCCCTTCCTGGTGTTCCCCAGTGGATGGCAATTACTGTTTGACGTGCGGCAGCGACAAGACCCTGAAGCTGTGGAATCCGTTGCGAGGGACGCTACTGCGGACGTACAGTGGCCACGGCTACGAGGTGCTGGACGCGGCCGGGTGAGCCGGGGGCCAGGCCGAGATACAGGTGCAGAGATTGGGATCTGAGGTCAGCACTGATCTTCCCTCCTCTGCCCTCCAGCTCCTTTGACAACAGCAGTCTGTGTTCCGGCGGCGGGGACAAGGCGGTGGTGCTGTGGGATGTGGCATCGGGGCAGGTCGTTCGCAAATTCCGGGGCCACGCGGGGGTGAGTACAAACAAAAAGCGGCCTCATTAGAGCGTGGGTGGAGGAGAGAACCCACATTATCGTGTAGGTGGTGACAGGAAACCCTTCCACCCCTACCCATTACAGAGCAAGGCTCCTTTCCCCATGGCCCAGCATGCAGTTTTCCCAAAACCTTTCACCTCCTCTATCTCTAGCCTTTACTTTTTTTTTTTTTTAAGGTTTTATTTATTTATTAGAGAGAGCAGAAGGGGTGGGGCAGAGGGAGAGGGAGAAACAGGCTTCCCGCATAGCAGGGATCCCTATGTGGGGCCCGATCCCAGGACTCTGGGATCATGACCTGAGCTGAAGGCAGACACTTAACCGAATGAGCCACCCAGGCGCCCCTCCTTTGCCCTTGCTTTAACCTGCATCCGGAACCCTGCCTTTATCCCAGTCCTCCAAAGTCCAGCCTCCTCTGAGTGGCAATCCCTGTTTCTCAGAAGGTGAACACGGTCCAGTTTAATGAAGAGGCCACAGTCATCCTGTCTGGTGAGTCTGGAGCCTAGGCAGGGTACTGCCCCTGTGGCCCAAACCCGACCTCACCTTCATGTTGGCCCTTACAGGCTCTATCGATTCCAGCATACGCTGCTGGGACTGCCGATCGCGGAGGCCTGAGCCAGTGCAGAGGCTGGACGAAGCCAGGGATGGCATATCCAGTGTGAAGGTGTCAGACCATGAGGTCCTGGCAGGGTGAGTGGAGCCAGGACCTCACCCCTCCCCCGGTGCCACTGGGGATCACCACTGCCTCGCTACTTAGATTAAAATCTCCTCTTCTCACCTCAGCTTACAAGGCCCTGCACAGTGCTCTCTGCTGATCTGTTAGGTTTTATTCATTCCAGGTCTCATTTTTCTTACTATGCCAAGATGCTCTCACCTCAGGATCTTTGCAATTGCTCTTTCTCTACCTGGACTCCCTTTCTACTTACTCAAAGTGTTTTTGAGCTCTCTGGCATACCACTTTTTTAGTCAGTGAACATACAGCAGTTAATGAAATAGGGAAAAGTCTCTGCCCACATCAAGTTGATGTTCTAGTTGCAAGAGGCAAACAATGAAAATTCCCAAGCAGGGCTGCCCGTTTGTTGCCACAACCCAAAGGAGTGCCATTCCCACTGTGGTGGGGGCGGGGGGGTAAGTTTGGGCTGCCCAGCCTGTTGGCTGGTCCCTTCCCACACATCTTCTCCTGGACCACACGTTTATCTCCTTATCCTTCAGGTCCCAGTTTAGAGGCCACCTCCTTGAGGAGGCCTTCCTAGATTACTCTCAGTCAGCAAGTCTCTATGATGGCAGAAAGTGCTCCTGGCTTTGTCGCAGCCGTGTCCCAAGGACTAGCCCAGAGAGGATGCTCAGTGCATATCAGAAACCAATGGAGTAGGTCCTCATTGGCCCTGGGTGTAAGTCTCAAAGCCAGTGCCTTGGAATTCCACTGAAAAATTCATTTCAATGTTTATTTTCCATGGGTAGCCATAAGTGTGAGCATGACAGCGAAGGGTGCACAGGAAGGGCAAGCCCACCTCCCTCCCCACCCCCCCGCCAGGGTCCTGGCAGGGTCAGGGAGAGTACAGGGACTGGAGCCATGGACCTACTGGCCCCAGTTGATGCTTCAGCTGGATCCATCCTCTTGCAGCTCCGTGGATGGCCGGGTGAGGCGCTATGACCTGAGGATGGGGCAACTCTTCTCAGACTATGTGGGCAGTGAGTGTGGCAGGGCTGTGGGGCGGGCAGGGCAGGTGGGGGGCAGCAAAGGGGGCCCCAGCTTCACCCACCTGCGCGCCCCCCCCCAGGCCCCATCACTTGTACCTGCTTCAGCCGGGACGGGCAGTGCACCCTGGTGTCCAGCCTGGACTCCACGTTGCGGCTTCTAGACAAGGACACAGGGGAGCTGCTGGGCGAGTGAGTCCTTGGGGTGGTGGGGCCCCTCCCCTACCTCTGCTAGGACCCAAGCCCTCCTGATCCCACCCACCCCCAGGTATTCGGGCCATAAGAACCAGGAGTACAAGCTGGACTGCTGCCTGAGCGAGCGTGACACACACGTGGTCAGCTGCTCCGAGGACGGGAAGGTGTACTTCTGGGACCTGGTGGAGGTGAGCCTCCTCACCCCGACTCCTTACCAGGCTGCCTGCTCTGTCTCAGGCAACTCCCTAGCAACTCCCACACCTGCACAAAGGGATGCTATTAGAGCTGGGGGCTTGGAAGAGTGAGTGAGAAAACAAAGCAGGAAGGGCATTCCTGGCAAAGGGAACAGTGTGTGCTAAGGCTTGGAGGTGTGGCACACTTGGGTCAGGGGACAGAAGGACTGTGGGATGGCAGCAGCAACAGGGCCACACTAAGCAAGCCCAGCCGACCATAGGGACTGACCCTGGGGGAGTGGGGCCGACAGCCACATCTGACCCCAGCTGAGATGGGGCAGTAGTTCGGAAACCCTGAGCTACCTCTGAGCATCCCCATGGTTTCTAGTCCCAAACCCTGTGAGCCCTGTCCTGCTGTGTCTCGGCCTGGTGGGGAGGTCAGGCTGGGAACAGACTATTAGTCTGGCCTCATGGGGTCAGGGCTGGGGCTTGACCAGGGAAAGTAATGCCCCTAAGAGGATGGAGGAAACTGGGGGAGACTTGAGGGCCCAGCTCTCTCTGGCAACTAAGAATGCGCCATGTTCCGCCTACTTCTCTAGAGTCTGTCAGACTGAAAGTCACTCTCAAGGGGGCAGTGCGTGGAGGGACATTTTTGAAGTGGGAAGAGCAATCGGGGGCAGGCTTGAGGGACCGAATGTGTTGAGCGGTGACTGTAAGCTGATGCACGAAGTGAGCACAGAGGCTGCCCAGTGGGCCCCTGGAGCCCGGACAGCGGCAGGGTGGAGAAGCCGGGAACGGACGGGACAGGATTGGAGCAACGTGGTGGCTGTGAATGCAGATCCGATGTGGTCTAAAGGCTGGGCCAGGAGCACTTGCCGACAGATAAACGGGGTGGGAAGCGTGAAAGAGGAAGACTTCCAAGATGTTCAGCCTTAGCCACACGTGCTCCAAAGGATGGAGCAACTCAGGGCTTCATTTTGGGGCAGCTGAGGTTTGCAGTGCCTGGGAAGCCATTAGAGGCGGGTGGCTGAAGGTCAGCAGAGAGGGACGCACGGATACCCACTGCCCGCCCCTTCCCTCCACAGGGTGCCCTGGCACTGGCCCTGCCCGTGGGTCCAGGTGTGGTGCAGTCACTGGCCTTCCACCCCACGGAGCCCTGCCTGCTGACCGCTGTGGGGGGCAGTGTCCAGTGCTGGCGGGAGGAGGCTTATGAGGCTGAGGGTGGCACCAGCTGAAGGTGGGGACCCACTGCCGCCAAGGACACGGACACAGACTCAGCAGGATCACGGAGACCATTTATTCTAGACACGAGGCTGATCGAGGAGGGAGGGAGGGGTTGGGTGTGCAAGCTAATAAATAGAGGCGAGGGGGGACTTCCCTGGAACCGGTAGCCACTCAGTCGTCATTCTTCTCAGGCACAAAGGCATCTCTCCTCTGGGCAAAGGTTTCAGCCACAAGCAGGGGGAAGACAAGGGAGGCGTCAGCATAGACCTGCAGACGGGACCTGGGTGAACTACAGGGCCTGTGGCTGCGCTCTGGGAGACTCTGCGCCCCAGCCAGCTGACCAGCCCTCACCTTGACAGGCTGGGCGTCCACCCGGATCTTGCCCCAAGACACCGCTTCGTCCGGCCTGGCGCCAGAGTCCGAGCCATCAAACTCCTGGGCCGTGTTGATGTAGACAGAGTAGTCGGCCCCATTCCGCTGTGGGGAGGGGCAGGGTGAGCTGGTCAGCCAGTCACTGCACATGGGGGTCGGCGCTGGCTGCAGAGGCTGAGGGCTGCGTCCTGCATGCCGGGAGCCCGTAGTGGCCCCTCCACAGGAAGGGCCCCACATCAGTGCGTGAGCAGAGTGCGAGGTTGGGGGTTGGTAGGGTTGATGGGCAGAGCTGCCCCAAACCCACCAACTAGGGAGCAACAACTCTCCCACAGCTACTCAGCAGGGGCTGCCACCACATACAAAGACTCCCACCCTGGTCTGGCCCCATCATTCCTCCCGGACCAGCCATTTGTTCAGAGAGGGCGCCTGTGAGCACGCAAGTGGCCGCCCTGGAAGCCTGGCTCCAGCTGCTGGTCGCCTCCCGCTCCCCTTCACCGGCTTGCTAACTGTCCCTGGACTTCATTCAGGCACCTCAGAGCCTTTGCACTGGCCGTTTCCTCTGCTCACCCGGCTGTCTTTCCCAGAACCTTGTTTCTCTTGCCATCATGTCATCCGTTTTTTCCCACAGCAGTTAACTGCCACGTGACCTGCATGTCACTTGTTCGCTGCCTGTCTCCCTGACTAGAACATCAGTCTAGGAGGACAGGGATCCTGGCCTGTCTAGTCCACAGTTGTCTCCCTGGCACATGGCATAGGCCTAGCGCACATACCACCCTCACTAGGGACCAGGTACTCTGTCCCCACTCACCATGAGGTTGGCGTTGGCAATATGATGCTTGACCAAACCCCCGCCCAGGATGATCATGCCAGTGCTCTTGGCAAAGATGGCCTGTGTGTTGATGAGCCGCAGGTCTGGGAGAAGAGTGCTGGGGTCAGGCTACGGACCCAGCCAGCCCTCCTCCCCTGCTCTGTGGCCCCAGCACCTCACCCTCGACGATGTCCAGGACCAGGCCGGGGTTCTTGTAGGAATGGAAGAAGATCATGTCACCCAGGGAGCCGTCAGTGAGCGCTGGGCTCAACACAGGGATGTTGTTCTGGGGGACAGCAAGACAAGAGTGACTGGAGCTCAGAGCCCAGTGGGGGCAGGCTGGTCCCCATCCCAGCGGCATCCCCTCCTCTGCCTGATTCTGGGCAGAGTGCTTACGTTGTCTGGGCCTCAGTTTCCTCAACTGTAAAATGGAGACAGCAACAGCACCGCCCTCACAGATGAAGAAGCATATGTGATGAAACCAGACAGAACACAAAGGATCGTGTAGCTCTCACTACTCTGACCACTGGACCTCCGCACTGGAGGAGCATGGGACCCGTGGCACCCCCCCAACTGATCCCAGGTGGTCTAGGAGTAGAGCCAGGATACCAAGGTCACACTCAGCGGCTGTGGAGCCTCAGACAAATTACCTAACCTCTGTGTCGGGTTCCTCACCTAAGAGTGGAAATGATGACTTGGTTCTCCAGGGGGCGATGAAGGTGAAACAAGCTAATATGTGCCAAGGCCTGGTATCCGTGCCCCACCCAGCCCCTCACCTTCTGGGCCCAGTAATACACTGATTCTGGGTTGTTGATCTCCTTGCCCAGGCGGGCAATCATCTTGGAAGGTGTCCACTTCACACCCTAGGAGGAGACATTGGACTTCAGCCTGCAGTGCCTCCCGACTCCTACCACGCTGGCCCCCAGGTCGCTCCTGCCCCACCTCCGTGTTCTGCTCCAGCACCATCTGGTCCAGAATGGGCATCAACCAGTCCTCAAACTTGCAGTAATTGTCATTGGGCACCAGTAAGTTTCCAATCCTGTGAAAATGAGGCACGTGGGCATCAGGCCCCAGGACCCTCCGCCCACCTCCTTTGCCCAGCACCACTCAGGGCCCCCAACCTGTTGATCCCGTTCTCACGCAGCTCCTTCCCCCTGAGACTGAAATCGCCCAGGTACGTGGGTGCCAGGCACTTGATAAAATCTTCCTCCACACCGCCAGCTGTGGTCACTAAGACGTCCACCTGCGGCCACAAGTCAGTGAGGTTAGCCCAGGAAGAAGGGCCCTGCCCTCATCCCAGGTAGGGCTCCTAACTCCCAACACTAACCCAGTGACCCTTGGAGAAAGCTCTACTGCAAAACAAAAGTAGATCGTGTCCCTCTGCTTAAAATGACCCTGTCTAGGGGGGTGGGGGGATGGGTTAGCCTGGTGATCAGTATTAAAGAGGGCACGTTCTGCATGGAGCACTGGGTGTTATGCACAGACAATGAATCATGGAACACTACATCTAAAACTAATGATGTAATGTGTGGTGATTAACATAACAATAAAAAATTAAAAAAAAAACCTGACCCTGTCTCCCTGTGTCATTTAAATGACCAATAATTTTATTGCCCCCATAAGACCTAGAGAGGCCAAGACCACAACCACACCAGGTCCCCACCATGTTGTGCTGCACGAGGTAACGGATGGTCTCACGGATGCCTGAACTGATGAGATTGGATGTGTAGCCCAGAAAGATGGTGCAGCCAGTAAGTGGGCGGTGGCTCTTGGTCAGGTCTGCATGGTGGTCTTCATCCTGCGACAGCGGTTCTAGTTTCTTCTCTATCTAGGTGTTAAGGGCAGGGTCAAGTTACCCTCTGGCCCCCAAGCCCTAGCCCCTACCACTTCTACCTGGAATACATGGGGCCAGGGAACGAACGCCCCCTGTGCAGGCTCTGACCCCCAACCACAGCCCAAATCTCAGGGCACACGCTCAGGTTTTACCCCCTTTCAAGGAATCGGAGAGCACGACCTTTGTAGGCCCGGTCCCCTTCCCCATCCGAGCCTGACTTAGGTTCCTCAACCGCACCGTTCAGAACACTTTCACTCGTTACCTACGACCCGCCTCCTATCTAGAATCAGTCCCAACTTCATCCTGATTGTAGGATGTTTTGGGGATGAGGGGACGACGTCCTCTCCCCAGCACAGAAACTGCCGCCCAGAATGGGCCCGGCCTCTCTCCACCTATTGGACCGCCCAACACAGGACGCTCCTCCTTCACAAGGGAGCCCCGCCCCCTCCAAGTACTGCATTCCCGCTACCCTAGGCCACACCCCCTCAATCCAGGAAGTTCCGCCCCGGGCTTCACCATGGCGTTGACTTGCTGCACTGCGCGCCCGAAGTTGGTGGCCTGGAAGCCAGTGGTGCCGAAGGCCTCCAGTAGCGCACGGTAGTCCACGCCGCGGTTGAAGTCGTAGCCTCGGACTTGGGAGCTCTCGGAGGGCAGCGCCGAGCTGTGCTTCAGCACAGCGGCCAGCGCCGCCGCGGGTGCCTTCCCCTCCGGAGGACCCTCCATGTTCCAGCGGCCGCACTCCCAGATCACAGCCGCCCCAGGCCAGGCGTCCAGCGGCCTCCAAACGCACTAAGCCTCGGCACGCGCTTCTGTACGACAGTGCAGGAAGTAGGGCTCGGGAAAACCTGCAGGAGGGGACGGGAAGTTGCTTCGTCACATGACCCTCTTTCATTCCCATAATCCAGGGCGCGGCCATGTTTGCGCGCGCGTTCCGTAATACGGAAGCCGCGAGGAGCCGTTATTCCCTGTCTCGTCTTGACAAGCCTGAGATGAATGAAGATTCCTACTTTCACTGCCGCCTGCTGGAGACCCACCGCGTTGCGCGGCGCTTTCCTATTCGTTTCTGTCCCTTTGGGGAAGGAGGAGGATGGCTTCCTAGACGTCGCCCTTGGACAGGATTCGAGTCATCAGGAAATGTCAGATAGTTTCTGCCCCTGAGCGTCTCTCGTCAAATGGTTTAGTGATCGCTGTCCGTACCTCGCAGGTCTCCAGAGCCTCCTCCACATGCTGCGTAACCCTCTGGTCTTCCCCGGGCTGTTGCAGCTGTCACTTCTTCTGGGAAGCCTTCCTTGACCTTCCTCTGGGTAAGGGACCTCCCCTGGGACCCAAGGCTGACCTCTCTCTCCCTCCAGCAAGACTGTGAGACCCTCGAAGGTGGGGTCTGTATCTCATGAGTCCTCCTAGCCCTGCACAGGGTCTGGTCTGGGGGAATTTTTTAACCAGGTATTCTACCATTTATGGAGTCTATACTGTACGTTGGGCTCTGTGTTTGGCGCTTCAGATTTATCGGTGAAGGAGATGCAGACCCTGCCCTCCTGGAGTCCACAGTTTGGGGAGCTAGAAAGCTAACAACGATAGTGGTAAGTGCTATTGAGGATTCAAAAATGATGATGTGTCTTTGAGGTAGGGGTGGATGGAGGGGGAGGTGGCCTTATTTGCAGGGACAGGTGGTTGGGGAAGGACACCAAGGAGGGGACATTTGAGCCAAGGCCAGAAAGCCAAGAAAGGCCCCATTTGTGAAAATTTGGGGAGGCCATTCCCCACCATTGGGAAAGAGAACTGCCAGTGCAAAGGTCCTGAGGCCAGAGATTAGCCCACTTGATTGGAGGAAGAGAACATCCTTCTTGACATCTTTGACAGTCCCCACTTGGATCTCAAGCTCACCACCTCAGTTCCCACTCCTCCTAATCCTGATCTCCCTGCGGTCTTCCACATCTCATCAAAGAGCCCTCCGCTCAGCAAATAAGCCCTCGGTGCACCTAGTAGGCTCAACACTGGAGAATTGAGCTTGATGTCTCCCTTTCTCTCACACCCACACCCATCCCTCAGCACCTCTAACAAGTTCTACCCACAAAATAGGTCCCAAATCCAGGTGCCTTTTTTTATTGATAGAATTTGACATATATTAGTTTCAGGTGTACAACATCATGATTGGGTATCTATCCAGGTGCTTCTCTCCATTCTCACAGCCTCCACACTGGGCTACCTTCCCTCCAGTCCCATCTCCCATCTGTGGCCAGAGAGCTCATGAAACAGAAGCCAGATAAATCATTCCTTTTTCAAACTCTCTTACGGTGGCTTCTCCCTAGGAGTAAAATCCTGTCCCACCACTTGCCCTCACTTCCTCCTCTCCGGTTACACCAGCCTCCTCCCTGTCCTAGAACTCACCAAGCTCGTTTCCTGACCAAGGGACAATGCCCCCACTGCTCCCGCTGCCTGAAAGACCCTCTTCTCCTCCGAGTCTCTAAATATTACCTCGTCCAAGAGGCCTGCTCTGACCACCCGATTCCACCCTTACTTTGCTTGTCATTGTCTCTCAAAGCACTTAATACATTTTGTTTGCTGTTGCCTGTCCCTCCCTGATGAGAACGGCAGCTCCATGTGGGCAGGATTGTCTGGTTTCACTGCTGTTTCTCTTACTCTGTGCAGTGATCACATACTGTGATCTCAGCAAATACACTGAATGGATGAATGAACCCACACAAGGGCATCAGGGTGATCCATCAGGAATGAAGGAAGGAAAGAGGTGGATAAATGAATTCAGGGGCTCCTGGCTGGCTCAATCGGTGGTGCTTGTGATTCTTGATCTCGGGGTTGTGAGTTTGAGCCCCACGTTGGGTGTAGAGATTACTTAAAGATAAAATCTGTTAAAAAAAAAAAAAAAGTGAATTCAGAGCAGGTAGAAGGTGCCAGAGCAGACAGTAGTAAGGAAGATGGGTTTATTCTAAGAGGCTGGGAAACCATTGGAGAGTTTTAAGATTTTTTATTTATTTGTCAGAGAGAGAGAGAGCACAAGCAGAGGGGAGCGGTAGGCAGAGGGCTCCCTGCTGAACAAGGAGCTGGATGCAGGACTTGATCCCAGGACCCTGGGGTCATGACCTGAGCCAAAGGCAGACACTTAACCAACTGAGTCACCCAGGCATCCCAACCATTAGAGAGGCTTTTGTTTTTGTTTTTTTTAAGATTTTATTTATTTGACAGAGAGAGACACAGCAAGAGAGGGAACACAAGCAGGGGGAGTGGGAGAGGGAGAAGCAGGCTTCCCGCCGAGCAGGGAGCCTGATGCGGGGCTCGATCCCAGGACCCTGGGATCATGACCTGAGCTGAAGGCGGACGCTTAACGACTGAGCCACCCAGGTGCCCCCCAACCATTAGAGAGTTTTTAAAAAGGAATGAGAGACTCTGATTTTTTCCCCAATTTTTAAAAAAGCTTTTATTTTTAATCTCTACACCCAACGTGGGGCTCAAACTCACAACCCTGAGATCAAGAGTAGCACGCTCCACTGACTAAAGCAGTCAGGCACCCCACCAATTTTTTATTGTGGTAAAACATATATAAAATTTATTATCATAATTTTAAAGTATACAGTTCTATGGCATTAAGCACATTCGCATTGTTGTACCATCCATCTCTAAAATGTTTTCATCATCCCAAAATGAAACTCTGTCCCCATTAAACATTAATTCCCCGTCCCCCTCCCCCAGCCCCTGCCACCCACCATCTACTTTCTGTCTCTGGATTTGACTCCCCTAGGGACCTCACATAGACGGGATCATACATTATCGGTCATTTTGTGACTGGCTTATTTCATTTAACATACGTCCTCAAGGTTTATCCATGTTGCAGTGTGATTTATTTTTTACCAGACCCCACTGGCTGCCTTGAGGAGAATGGGGGCAGTGGGGAAGGGCAGAGCAGGGAAGATGAGGGCAGAGACGCCTGCGCTGGTCCAGGCCAGCAGAGATGGGAGCAGGACCTGGGACATGCCAACAGACATGGAGAGAAGTGACCAGACTGAGAACCTAATTTGAAGTTGACCTGATGGCTCCTGAGGAAGGATCAGATGTGGTGACACCAGAAAGAGAGGATCGAAGGAGTTGAAGATTTGGGCCAGGGAATTTGAGTGGATGGTGGTGAATTGGGGGGTAGAAGGTCTGGGAGAAGATAATCCCGAGTCCAGCTTTGGCCGAGCTAGGCGAGAGACCCCTGAGATCCCAGGATGACAGACTGAGGAGGCAGGAGGCTCTTCGGGTGGATCTGAAATCAGGGAAGGCTCGGGGACGGGGACAGAGGGAGCCATCAGCATAAGCAAGTGGATGGAGTTATCTGTGGATAAGATCCTGCGTGGTGAGTATAGACAGAGGGGAGAGGCAGGGCTGCCCCTGAGCCAAGGTACACTCTGGACGTGGTTGGGGGCAGAGGCCGGCAAAGGAGGAGTGTTGGGGGCCACTGGCAGAGGATCAAGCAGGTCAGTGAGAGGCCAGGGCCCCTCCGCTCGCCCAGCCAAGGTGACATGTGACACCAGGGCAGCCACTGGGCCCCCTGGGGCAGGGACCCCCTTAGCTGAGGCAGCTGCTGCTGCTGGTGACATTTCACTCCATGAGTGTCCTGGCTTCAAAGTCTCTGCAGGGGTGGGGGAGGGAACGGAGCGGGGCTGGAGAGGCCAGGCTGGCAGGGGAGGGAGCCAGGGCCAGGCTGCTGGAGGACTAGCAGTCGGGCATCAGCCGGAGGGAGGCCTCAGCTGAAGTATGTGATCCTGACGGGTCGAGGTCCCGCCACCCCCGTCCCACAGTCCCCAGGGGGGGACACAGGAGGCAGTTAGGGGACTCTCGGGTAGCCGTACGGCTAGGGGTCGGGAATGGAGCCCACTGCCTGTGACCCTGCTCACTTCCCTGCAGATGTCCAGCAAGGGGGCCACCGGCAGCGACATCGGACAGGCCCGCCGGGCCGTGGAGCAACTGCGGATGGAGGCGGGCATCGAGCGTGTGAAGGTGAGGGCCAGGGTGGCACGGGCGTGTCTGGGCGAGGGGGCAGGCGGCCAGCCCTGGCCTGGCTGACCAGGCCGGCCTGCAGGTGTCCAAGGCGGCTGCCGACCTGCTGCAGTTCTGCACGGAGCAGGCCAAGAGCGACCCCTTCCTTGTGGGCATCCCAGCGGCTGCCAACCCCTTCAAGGAGAAGAAGCCCTGCGCCATCCTGTGACCTCCAAGGCCCCGACCGCCCAGGAGGCCTCAATAAAAATGAAGTGAAGGATCCTCAGGACGTGGCTTGGTCAGGCTTCAGCGGGGGCAGAGGGGGCCTGCCCCCCGTCCCCCACCGACTCTAGGGTCCTGGCCCCAGCAGCACACACATCCTGCACCCCCGGATGCATGAGCACGCACCTCCCCGCCCCCGTGGGGTAGCCTTAGCAGATCCCCTTGCCCACTGCACAGACACACCCAGGGTCAGAGCCCCAGTCTACGTGCCAACACGCATCACACATGCCTTCCTGTGTCACACACGCGCACACACACAGGTGTGCCATTATACAAACGTGTGCACATCCTCAAGAGCCTCCTCCTTCCTCGCACACAGCCACGTCCAGCAGCACAAAGGTACACACAGGGTTACCACACGGCACGCACAGCCAGACCCGCCTCCCCAGCGACACACACACACGTGGTCGTGAGCGCAGGAAGGCTTGCGCTCGAGCAGGTACACTCACACCTCGACATAAAATGGCATCTCACAGACTCACACGCCCCGTGCCTCCCAGTCCCAAGCAAGCACAGGCAGGGCCCTCGGGGGACACCAGTACATCAGGTTTATTTCTCCTTTGCTCTCAAGGGAAAGCGGGTATCCAAATCCTAGCAAAAACGGGGCCCCAGGGAGGGGAGCAGTCCCCTGGGTGGGCCTGAACACCACCACTTCCCTGGCGCGGGGCACAGCCCACGGGGCACAGCTCACCATGGCCCAGACTCCTTGTGCCTCAGGGCTTCAGGACAGGGCAGAGGCAGCACCAGCATGCGGGGAAGGTCCCCCGAGAACAGAGGCCACGGCCCAGCCTGTGGGCCGGCAGATCCCCCTCCATGTCGGCGTCTGTCCGCTCAGGCCTGCAGCCTCCAGACCTCCAGCGATAGGCCCCCGGAGGCGGCGACCACCAGGTTGCCCTCCGCGCAGATCTGGGAGGGCAGGGCAGAGGTAGTCAGGGGCGCTCTGGGCAGCTGGGCAGGGTGCGTAGGGCAGGGCCTTACCCCATTCAGCACATTGTTGTGGCTTCGGGTGCAGATGGTCCTCGGCGGATCCGTGGGCACATGCACCTGGTGAGGGGCAACGGGCGAAAGGGCGAAGGTCAAGACGTGCGCCGCCGGCTGGTGGGGCCAGGGTAGGGACGGGGCCTGTCTCGGGGCCTCACCCGGATGGTCTTGTCGGTGGACGTGGTGTACAAGGCCCCCAGCGAGTGTTTGATCCCTGTAATCTGAGACCTGTGGCCCACGTCAAAAGACTGCAGAAAGGAAGGACGGGACACTCAGGTAAGGGCTCGCCCAGGGTCCACCCGCCAGCCACCCAGGGCGTCAGGAGGTAGGGAGGAGGCCCAGGGACGGTGGGGCAGGGGCAAGCTCCCTGGCGGACCCGGACAAGCTGGAAGCGGCCGTTGTGGTTGGCGAAGACATGCAGCAGGCCCTGGTTGTCACCAGCCCAGAGCTGGGGCTCCTGGTAGGACATGCAGAGCAGGTAGGAGTCCAGCTGTGGGAGGGATACGGGACAGAGCAGCTCAGACCAGGCCAAGCCACCGCCCCGGTCCATCTGGGCCCGCAGGGAGGGCCCACCTGCAGCCGCTGCAGGACGCTGTTGGCCCGGCGGTCGAACACCACGAGCGTGTGGTCCTCGCTGCCCGAGATGATGTGCCGGTCGTCCGCCAGCAGCGCCAGCACCGCACTGGAGTGCAGCCGCCGGCTCTTCAGCAGAGCCGGGCCGACTTCGGGAGTGATGCGGGAAGGAGGGAGACATCAGAGCATCCGGGGGGGGCCCCGGCCTACACGAGGACGCCGGCACCTATCCCACTTGGCACCACCCTTGCTCTGCTCTGCGCGCCCCCATCCCGTCCCTCTCCCCGCCTGTCCCAGCTGGGCCTGGGCCATCCAGCGCCCCCAGATCTCGGCCCTCCCATCCCCCCGTCCCAATCCCATCCGCTCTCAGTACAGCGCAGACCTCAGCAAGTCCCAGCAGAAAAGGCTTCCACCTGCAGGCAGGTCGGAGCCAAGCCGCCCCCTCACGACACCCCCACCCGCCTCTGGCCCCACCTGGGCAAAGGCCCCCTAGCCCTTCAATTAAAATAAGAATGAATAAAGAAAAACAATGGAAAAGGCTTATGTGCTGGGCAGTGTTTTCCTAGGCTTTTTATGTCAACTAACATTTAATCCACCAAGGTTCTTACTGTCCTCTCCTCCTACTAAACCCTATGGCGCTGGAGTTATTAATCCAGATTTCACAGAGGGGGAGACTGACGTTCAAGCTTGACAGCTAGGAAGTGGGGGAGCCAGGGTCCTAGGGGCTGCTCCACCTCCCACAGTATTGAGGCTCAGAGGGCTTCCCATCCTCCCCGACACCCCAGATAGAGGGGGCTGCCTCTGCCCCCAACCCCCATCCCCCCCGAGTTGCCTTCCTTGTCCCAGCACAGCACGGGCCACTTGGAGTGGTCAGCATCTGGTTGTGACTGTCATCCCAGCCAGGCTGTGAGGGCAAGGGTCTCCTTCCCCAGCATGACCCCGGAGACCCCAGGCGGCTCTCCTCTCCCCACCTGGTTCCCAGGGCCCCTGGCCCACCTCTGGGGTCGTAGACGGTCACCTTCTTGTCATAGGTGCCAGTCACCAGGATGTCAGGCCGGTAGGACAAGCACAGCACAGCTGCCTTGCCCCTGGGAACACACGGACCCCAAGGCTCGGGCTGTGACTAGGTGGGACCCCGCCCGGCCCCAGCTCCCCGCCCAGGACCCCACACACTTTATCTCGCCGAACTGCTGTCCATCGGCCGCCATGTCCCAGAGCTTCACCGTGCTGTCCCAGGAACCAGAGCACACGCGGTGGTCCAGCGCTGCCAGCGACCACACCCAGCCCTGCAGACCGGACCCAGTGGTCATCCCCATTTCAGAGCTAACAAAATCGAGGGTCGGAGGAGGGAGACGACTGACCCAAGAACCCAGAGCAAGTCCGCTCCAAGTAGAGGTCGGGACTTAGGTCGGTGGGTCTGTCTGACTTCAGAGCCGAGGAGCCAAGGACGTGCACGCCCACACAGAATGATATTCCTAAGTCAAGTCCCTGCCGGAGTCCGCACCCGTGGTGCTTCGAGGCCACCTAACAATGTGACTAAAAGTGGGGCCTCCGCTCCATGACCTGAGCAAATGAAGTGCTCTCCCTCAGTTTCTTCACTGGGAAAATGGGCACAAAAAAACAACCCCCGCCTCAGGAGCCAATAGGCACAAAGCACTGGCTGGTGACTAACTCATTCCTCACCAGACTCTCCGAGGAGAGTGCTGCGTAACTGGTCGGTGCTACAGATGAGGACACTGGAGCACAGAGAAGTTGAGTCCCTTGCCCAAGGTCACACAGCCAGGGAGTAGCAGAGTGGGGATTTGAGCCCGGTGGCCTAGCTCCGAGACCAGGCTCTTGGCCACCTGCCTGGACCACCTCAATGACTGGTGGTGGTGCCCCTGCATGTCCGCCTCTCATGAGCTGACAGCCATGCTCAGAGCTTTGTGATCCCCACGGGCGGCCTCGTAACTGCCCTGCCCTACGCCTCTCAAGGTATACCTGATGTCTCCCAAGTGCCTCCTGTGTATCCTAGCCTAAGCGAAGCTCTACGGCATATTCATCTCATTCATCCTCATCCTAACCGAGCCCTAGACACAAGTTGAAACGGAGGCCCAGAGAAGTCCTACATCTCACCCCAGCATCGCACTAACAATGGCAGGACAAGATTTAAATCTATGATGTCTGGTGCCGAAACTCATGCCCTTAACCATGGCACCCTACCCAGGCCCCCCACCTCATGCCTGTCTGGCCTCCTAACCCCTCACCTTGTGGGTGCTGTTCTTCTCGGTGCCCAGGGCCTTGACTAGAACCTGGCTGGACTCCACCCCCAGCTGCCGCAGATCCCACAGGTTGACGTTGCGATCTCGGGAGCCTGACAGACAAAGCGCTCCACCCTGAGAAGAGAGTGAGGTGGTGGTGTCGGAGTCACCCTGGTCCACCCCTGCCCCCCACCGAGCCCCACCTCACCTGGAGCAGCAGCACCGAGTCAATGGAAGCGAAGTGCCCATCAGCCAAGCAGAAGTACTCAGCCCAGCGCCCATCCTCCGCCCAGCGCGACAGGTGTTGCTCCAGCTCAATGCAGGCTGTCGGCCAGTCAAAGTCCTCCTCTGTGGGGCATCGTGAGCAGGGTCCCCAGTGGGCAGGAATCCTGACGTCCACACCAGCTGTCCAAGCCCACCCCTGGCTTCCAGGAAGCCCAGCCTTCACCAGACTTGGAGAAAACCCCACCTGGATCCCTCACCCCACCCAAGAAGGCCCAGGATCTAGCTTTGGGACCACCAGCCACCCACCTTCCAAGCAGGTCTAGGACTACTCACCCCAGTTTCCAAAAAGTGGGTAACTGGAACCTCGGGACCACCTTCGCAGGCCTCAACCCCCAACCCAAGTGTGGAGGATAGTAGCCTCGGGATGTTAAGGTCCTGCCTCAACCCCCCCTATGCATCAGAACTGGGACGTTTTGCCTCCATAATCTTAACCAAACCCAGGGAAGTGTTCTCAAATGAGTGTCTGTAAACTTGGGAACTTTGTCGAGATGCAGAACTCAAATGCTTGCAGAGATTCAGTGGTATAATGGAGCTCAAGCAACTGTTTATCAAGCTGTTCAGGAAAGCCCCATCAATTCAAGGTCACCAAGCTGTCTTATCCCCCAGGGATCAATGACCTCAGGGGCAGGAGGAATTACCACCAGCCCCAGACTAGGCTAGACCCTGGGCTTGAGGATCGATCTGTGATTGCTGGTATCAGGGATCCTAACCTCTAAGATGTAGCTTGGGATCAAAGGTTGCAGGCTCTGGGCCTTTAGTCCCTGCCCCACCACTACCTAGGTCAAGACTGTAAGGGTGAGGGGCTTTGGCATCACCAGTTGGATTCTTGGCCTACCCTGAACCCCAAGAGACTCCAACAGCTAAGACTTCAAGTCCCTGTGTCAACCCCCAGCCAGGGGTCGGGGCCGTGGTACCACCAGACCCCAAGCCTGAGGCTCTTTGGATCCTGAGTTCAGGGACCCCAGCCCCCCAAGGCAGATTTCCACAGCCCCAGGACCCCCAGCGTCTGGCTCATGGTGCACCCAGAGGTCAGGGGCTTTGGCACCACCGGTAACTACCTCAGCCTCCACCCAAGCCAGGACAACCAGGAAGCCTGCTCCAGGGCTGTGCTCACAGCACCCCAGCCTAACCTGGGCAGCTGACCCCAGCCCCCAGGCGCGCGCACCTTCCACCACTGGGTAGGGCGCGCGTACGCGGCGCTGCGCGCGTAGCCTCCAGGTGACATGGTCACGCACGAGGTCCCGCAGCGTGTGGCACACGCGCGGCAGGACGTGGAGCACCAGGCGCGCGTCTAGGTAGGCGCAGATCTCGAGCAGCAGCTCCGGAGGAAGGCTCAGCAGTCCCGGGACCCCCACGGGCGCACCCTTGGACGCCGCCCGCGGCTCCAAGGCGCCAGGGGATGCGATGGGCGCGGACAGCAAAGGGGCGCGTGGGGGCGGCTGCCCGACTTTCGGCGGACTGAGTACGCGGGCCACGTAAGCCTCGGCCTGCGCGTCCGGGTCGGGCTCCGACTCCGGGTCCGAGTCATCTTCCCAGGCGCGGGGATCGTCGCGCGGCCCTGGGGGCAGCTCCATGGCGACCGGGTGGGCGCGGCCAGCCGGGCCCTGTCAGCCGAGGGCCTCGCGTCCCGTCTCCTAGGCAGCGCGAAGGCACTTCCGGCGCTGCTTGATGACGTTGAGCGCTGGCCGGAAGCGAGTGGCACGTGGGGAAACAGGCTGGATCCCGGAATCCCGCAGTTTTCAGGGGTCCCGTGGTGCAGCTTCGCTGGCCTTGTGCTAGAAAATGCAGATTCCTTCTAACAGCGTTTGTTAAACAGGCAGCTGACTCAGGTTTGACGCGGCTCTATCAAAGGCACCTCTCCCAGGTGGCACTGAGCTTAGAAATGCAGTCCCTCGGAGTTCGCAGTCTGGGCCATATGGGGATTCCAGCTCCTGTCTTTCCTTCCGGGGGCAAAAATGTGCGGTTGTTCCGCAGAGCCTCAGATTCTCCTAAATTACCTAAAAATCGTCCTTATCTCTTATTTACTGAAACTGTCTTTTGAGCAAGGCATTAACCGATCCATATAAATGTCTCAGAGCACTTGCCGTTCTGCCTCTTCAGATACCCAAATATGCTCAGTTACCACCTAAGCAGTGAGGCCTTCTCACAGTACTCTACTGTAAAGACGACCATTTTACCAACGTTCCCTCTTCCCTCCCCACCTTTTCTCTATGGGACATAACACTGTTCCGCTGTTTATTTCCTATCCCCTCACTAAAACGTACACATTTGTCGAATGAATGCTGGGTATATGGCAATGTCAGCTTTTTGTTTGTTTTCCCAAGTCGATGCAGGGGACCTTTGGCCCTGTTGAGGTTGCAACAAGATTTTATTCTGAGGCTGTGTGTCCCAAGAACTTCGCAATTTCTCATTTGCCTCAGTAACTGTCTCATACTTATTATACCTCCCACAGGCCAAGTGCTAAGCTTCCTACAAAAATGTCTAACCTGCCCAGTGACCCAGAGTTGTGAGGTTAGCCAAAGATGAGAGTGGTGCAAGACTCTGCCCCTTAGTTTAGTCTAAGGCAGATGGGAATCTTGAACCTGGGCTGTAACACTAATGGCTCCCTTTTAAATTGAGCTCAAGACGTTCAGTGAGCTGTAATTACATTCCATGGGACACACGACACGTGTATGTTACATTTAATCTTTGTCGTTCACATGCAGCTTCCCATTTTACTGGGAAGAAAAGTGAGAGGCTTGGGGTCCCAAGAAATGTGCCTGGTTAATTGCTTACTTATTTCCCTACTCCTGAATTATTTCATAGAGTCCTGGGCATCCCCACTTCTAAGGCGTCCCAAGCCCCCCCTCCAGATCTCTTCTCTATGCCAAAGCCAAGGATACAGGAGGCCAGATGGAGACCAACGGTTTCACAAGAAACTGATCTTTACTCAACAAAGTTCTACACAAGTGGAATCTCACGCCACCTCGGCGCCAGTCCCCAGCACAGCACAGTAACAAATGGACAGACCCTGGAGCCCGTAGGAGGAAGAGGGTGAGGGGGAAGGAGGGATGTGGGACAAAGAGGGACTGCAGATCGAGGCCAGTCAGGGTCCGCAGCCCTGGGCAGGGGAGAGGGTTGAGAAGCTGAAACTTCGTTGTGCAAAAATCAACCAAAAATAAATTAAAAAATTAAATAGTTTTCTTTAAAAAAAAAGAAGAAGAAAAGAAAGAAAACTAGAACCAGGCTCCCCGTCCCTGAAGGTGGCTGGAGCACCCCCATCCTGGGTGGAGAAGGGGTTACCAATCCCATCAGACACCCAGTCCATCCACAAACCCCAAGACCCAGCAGAGGATGCTCCAAAGAACTGGATTACCAGAAAATTAAATGGTACCTAATTTTTTTTCTTTTTTTTTTTTTTTCCTTTTTTTTTTTTAAACAAATGGCTTCCAGAGACCTGCTGGAGTTTCACAGGGTAGGGAAGCCAGTGGAGTTTATGGAATGTGCACCAAGTGCCCCTCGGAATAGAGGCAGGGCCTGACCCTGTCTGGGGAAGACACAGGGCTATGATGGGATTGGGTCTAGGGCCCTGCAGGGATGAACAGAACAAGCCCCAGGCTGTAGGAATCTAGTCAAAGCCCCACAGAACTCCCAAAGGGGCCCCCAGAAAAGTAAAAGTAGGGGAGGAGAAAAAGGAAAACACTAAGGGGGCTGCAGGGCCCGGTTCAGTTTTGAGGCCAACTGGGAAGTAACCACACACCCCCTCTAGGGGTGCCTCCCACACCGTGACTGCATCCCCAACCAATCCCAGAAGGTCCCCTAGAATCACTGCCCCGTCTGGTGGGGTCTTGTAGCCCACTGGGAGTTGTGATGAACAGGAAGCCCCAGGGACAGAGAGTGGGGTCAGGGGGTGTACCAAGTTCTCCTCCTCCAAAGCGCTTCATTTCCTTCTTGCTGGCAGAGCATAAGCTTTCATCCTCTGTCCCCCATCGATTAAAGGCCCCGGCCGCAGCCCTCAAGTTAAAACTCAGGCTGGAACCTGAGAGGAGGGCTCTCAGAAGCACAGAGAAACGGGCCGCCCTTGAAACAGACTTGCTTATGGAGAGACACAGGGAGTAGGGGTCAGCAGCTCTGGCTGCCCCCAGCTCTCTTCAGGAAAAAGGCCCTGGCCCAGCGTCTTCAAAAGTCACTGGAGCACAGCTGCTGGGGGGGGCGGGGAGGGGAGAAGAAAGGGCAACCTCTGGCCAGACCCAGCCCCTCTGGCCGTCCCTGCTCTTCTGGCTGGGACCGAGCAAGGAACGGGGCCACGCAGGCTGTGGCTGCCACCGAGCTGGCAGGAAGTGTGCGGAGCAGATCCCGAAGCGTGCGCGTGCTGACTTGGCGGCCCAGAGACGGCCGTCCTCTTTCCCCGCCCCAGGGGCCCAGCGGAGGCCCCCACCCCACCCAGCCCTCCCCAGTCACCAATGCCGGCAAAACAGCAGAAGCTTCTTAAACTCTAGATGCAGATTACACGGAAGGCCTCACGGGTTAACTCAGGGGTTCACTAATTCTACTGTCTCCATGCAGTCGGGGAAATGGTGGGGCGACCGGCCCAGCCTGGCTGGCTGCAGCGCCGTACATGCGTGTGTCCGCGGGTGTACGTGTGAGCGTACGTGTCTCTGCAAGGACCCCCCTCCCCGCCTGCTTTCCCCTTGCCTCAGCCTAAGCCGGAATCGCACGGCCGTGTTGAATCTTCCCTCCCGCGAGGCTGGCCCAAGTGGGCTGCCAGAGGTAACCCCGACTGAGAGCAAAGGGCCCTTGCTGCCAAGAAGTCCCACCCCCCCTCCCCTGTTTGTAGGATGAGTGTGGAGACCCCACCCACCTGCCTGCTGGCCGCCAGGCCACACACACTCATGGCAGGTAGGTGGACGGGGAAGGCGTCTGGATTTGGGTCCCGCTCACTCCTCCCTAACCCCCCTCGACCAGGGCACGGCGACTTCTGGACGCAGCGCGCTCCCCAGCAACCCCTCCAACGACGCAGACAGAAACCTGTGGAGAGAGGCGGGGGTCAGGGCCTGCACCCCCCACTCCCCCCAATAGCAACGGCCCGCCGGCGTGCAGCCTCCTCACCTGGCAGTCGTGACGCTCGTCTAGACCCCGTAGAAGGCAGCCAACCTCTCCTTGAGCAGAGGCGGGAACTGCTCTGAGAACTGCTGCCAGTTCTCCTCCCCAACTTGGTCTTTGAAGCCGTGGAGAATCTGCGGGGAGGCGGGGGGTGAGGCGCGCCCCAGCGCGGAGCCCTCTGAAGGCAGCCTCTCTCCCCAGAGGCGCCCCCTCGCCCCCCGCCACTGCCTCGCAGGAGCTCACCTTATAAAACATGTCCCGAAGGTCATCCTTCGGGCTCACCCAGGAGGCTACAGCGTCGCAGAAGAAAATAAAGTCCTGAAACGTGACAGGTCCTGTGTGAGGGGCCGCCCGAGCCCTGCCCCAGCACCTTCCCTCCGAGCCCCAGCTGCCCCAACCTGCACGACGCCCCCGGGGTTGACGCCTATCATCATGCAGATGCCTCGGAAGGCTGAATCCTTCTCCTCGTTGTCCCTGATATTCCTGAGGGACGTGCACCTGTGGGGGAGGTGAGCGGCAGGCAGTCAGCTGGTGGGGCTGGGGCAGGATGGGCATCTGTGGGGGGCAGTGGGGAGCAGCAGGTCAGCGGGGCTGGGGTGGGACACGTTATCTACGTGGGGTGGGGGGGGTTTCAGCAGGTGATGGGCTAGGACGGGCATCTGGGGGTGGACACAGACAAGGGAGCAGGTCCGGCCCGCCCTCCCCCACCCCCGCCCTGCTGTCCAGCCCACCAGACGCAGGCCCCACATGGTGTGGGGGGGGGGGGCCACACACCAGGGCCGGATGAACTGCTGCAGCATGGGTGCCACCTCCTGTGGGCACACGTAGCCCAGGCGGCCGATGGTGATGGCTGGAATGGCAGAGGGACTCGTCAGGCGACCTGCAACCCCGAGCGGCCCCGGGACGGTACGTGGCGGGGCCTCTGGCACGAGGCACCAGCCCCGCCCCGTGGGCCCCAAGGGAATAGGCCCAACCAGGGTCTCTCCGAGGCATCTTCCCCGGGGCTCTTCCCAGAACCCCTTCCGGGTCTTTCCAGACACCTTCCCTGGTTCTTTCCCGAGGTCTCTTCACCACTACCCTCCCAGCTGGGAAGCCCAATCCCAGGTAAGGGGACAGCAACTGCTCAGGCCTGGTGCCCACCTGTGTTTTCCAGCAGCGTCTTGGGTGTGTTGGGCCGGTTGATGATCTCCACCAGGTTGTTGAGGACCATCTGCACGTAGGGCTGCATCTCCGCCCCTGGGGGACCAGTTAGTCAGAGCCCCGCATAGCCCATACCACCCATGCTGACCCCCAGCTACATCCAGATACTGGCCAACTGCAACCAGTGAGGGAACAAAGAACATTCTCCAGCTGGTGCCCGGCTCAGGACCCGTGGCCAACCAGGGACAGACCCACACCTTCCAAACACCAGAAGCTTCCCTGAAGTCATTGCTCAATACCAGGGTTAGACCACATTACCCAGATTCCCTGGGGGGGGCGGGGAGTGGAGAGA